CCTTTGAAAGTTAGATGGAAATAAATGAGAATCAGTAAGTTTGGGTGCTAGTCTATATTGCTTTTTCTTATCCAATTTGTAAAGTTGTTCAAGATGACTTTTGTTCGTTGTATATTCATCAAATTTCAAAAAGTCATAGAAAAAATGGTTTCTGCTACATTTCAGCAGATGAAAAATATAGATTCAGTCGGTTGCGCTGTAGTTCGGCCGCGCATAAAATTCGAGGTGGGGAATCTTGACCCAAATATGGCGGAGAGTGAACTTACTGGTGTTTACTTCTATACTGTGCTTGTAGTGACTACCTTCACATTCGTTTGCATTGTCGAAGGGAATATATTATACAATTCTCAGTTGAAAATTCTTTTACCCGGAATCCCACTCCGATGAGCCCCGGCATTCAAATTCCAGCTTAAAGAATGTAGATAATAATATATAGTATAATAAGATTGAGGTTGTTTCACTTAATTGCTCTCTGTTTTTCTTCGAAAGTCTCTCACATTGTTTTTATAAAAATGGAGAAGTAGAAAACCGAAAAGCTTTCTTTTGCAAAAATGTATTTGACAGTATTAATTCGAAAACATTAAAGTGGAAAATAAATCTACCGGTCTTTTCAGTATGAATTTTTAGTTCAAACGTCTGTACGCTATTTTATGTTGAAAAGGGAATGAAGCAACCAACCGCATATGCATGTCTTGGAAGTTATTTCTGACACATAAAACGTACACAAAGGGTCGTCCAGAAATACTCGGTCTCCGATGGCTTCCAACATTTCGTCTGATGTTTATAGCAAAATGCAAACGACGAAAAGAAAAGAAACGAGGATATTTTCGTAAACGTAAATTTAAACTTGAGAGTTCGTAGAACTGTTTCAAGGATGATGTGATTTATAGAGATACATAAGTGTTTTAAAAAAATATCATAAACGAAGTTAATCAATATGTTTTCGATATTTTTGTCGATAATCGGAATTCATAAACTTTAACAGTGCCCGTCAGATGTTTTAAGTGCTTTTTCATTTTTGAATATGTTTACTGTGAATTCTTCAAATAAAGATAGACAAATATAATCTAGATTGCTTTCGAATTCTTTCAAAATCATGAAACATTATTTTTTGTTTGAAATTGTGTGTTCATCAAGTGAATATTTAAAGACCTTCATACATTTAATATTATCTATCTCTCTGTATTTTGTTGTATACTCCTAAACTTATTCGACATTTCGTATTCATTCTGGACATATTAATTGAAGGTTTACATCTCATCTAATTGTTAATAATCATGAAAACTATAGTATATCACGTCAAAAAAATCCCGTTTGTAATGAAGTATTTGCACGCAAGTTTTCACCCTCATTCAGGGGCACTTTGAAAATGTTCATTATCCTAATGAAAACAACGTAACAATAGGATAATTGAAGAGTCTATTTCGGCATTTGATTGACCATTTTTATTAAATAGATTTTAAATATTACTGAAGTTCTACCCCAACACAAAACCGTTAATTTTTAACACCTCGACACATGTTTTGATCATCCAAGTGATCATCTTCTATAGGATTTAATCCTCCTCTTGAAGATGAGGTGTTTAAAGTAATGGTTTGGTAGCTCCGTCACGCTGGAACCCGCTTTGAAAAAAATCTACCTTTTTTTTAGCCTACTTTACGTACAAACGATACTAATAAATGTAGTAATGTTCTTTTTTTTTGTAGTTTTATCGGTTACTGAGAAAACACTATTGATATTATTCAAACTACGAAGTACAAGTAATAATGCGCTAAAAAGTTTTGAAATAGGTTCTAAATTGATTGTAGTTCATTGTAGTAACAACACAATATCAATTTATTTTGTATTATTTTCAAGAATAGCAAAAAAACTACGATAACAAGACTTGAAATCATAAAATAACAATTGTCCTCAAACTACAAACGATGGAGTTGGTTGTAGCTGAAATTAGATGTTTGTAGTTAGCATTAAACCTATCAAAAATGAATGAAATAAAATCGAGTATTTTTCAACTAAATTATCCTAACATAACCTATCCTAACCAACATATATAACCTGAAAAAAAAGAAAAAAAAACTAATCAATAGAGTTTATTCTATGATTTTCACTATAAGGGTTTTACAAAAACCGCAACACGTGTTTCGCTATACAATAGCTTCTTCAAGCATATTTCAATTATATAACCTGAAATCTGATGTAAAAACTAACGTATTTTAGAATGATTTATTTGGAAAAAAGCATATATCCTCAACATCTAACCTGACTTCCGAATTCAAAAACGAACTCATGTTAGTATGTGGGAAATAATTCTTAATCCTGAACATTGTCATCCGTGAAAATGAAATTGGCTCCAATTTCGTTTCGGAGAGGATAAATAATGGGTTCAACAACCAAATCTAGTTTCGTTCGAAAAAAGGACATTTCGCCAATGAGCTAAAAGCCAGTCTCTGTGTTCCTGTGTCCACTGTAGACGAGCGGCTATGTGTCTGGGAAGTAACCTGGGTACTTTTAATGGCCTCCTGGATTGCAAATTGGCTCTAGCAAGTTTCCGCCGTATTATGGTACTGGAAATTAATTAACCAAACGTTCTTCTTGAATGAGTTCGATTCCGACCTACATTAAAAAAACAGGTTTCGGTTTCGGCGGCAAACCTGCTGAAACTACGACCGAAACCGAAACTGCATTCGGGAGTTCCCGCGCTGTGATCGGTCATGTTCGGCGCGTTGAATTTTATACAATAATTATATCCCGACTCGAGACTTAGTTTGTCGGTCACTAATGACATTCCATGATTTCATAGGTTGTGCAATAGTACGCACTGAGTTGTAGTTCAAAATCCAATCCAATTTGAGTTTACACTATCTCTGATGAGTAGTTTATCGGATAGAAAGTTTTGATAAGACGCAATTATAATGTTGATATGTTAAATGTCAGTATTCTACTTTACTAACAATTTCTCTGAATTTTCTTGATCATTGTCTTTCGCCTATCTCACTTTTTTCTCCATATAAAAAGTAATAGATACTAATTTCATTGCAATAATCTAATATATGTTTTATTACGGATAGTGTTATACGACCTCACCAAAATTTTACATTTATCTAACCTTCTTCGTCTATACAAAATTGCATTCCTAGAATTATTGCTCTACAACCGTTACGACAGCTTCATAGAAAAAAAAGTTCGTTTATAAATACACGAAAAACGTTACAATCGTTTTTTTGTACGATATATGATTCTCAGTTCAAGTAAGCATATGCCTATACTATCAAAACATACGTGTAAATCTAAGATTTTTGTTTCAGAAATAAAAGGTTTTGTTTTTGAAGTTACTAACCAGGTCTGCTTGTTTCCCAGAAGCTATAATTGAACACTCCTGTCTATTGAAACCAGAGCTAATTTTTTTATCAGCAGCATTATATTAGAAGAAGAAATATTTGCCAAATTCAAATTGTATATTATACTGAGAACTTGTAGCCGTGAAAAACAAGATCACGCATTCATTTGTGAGAAAAGAAGCAAGTGATGGTTAGGTTCGGTTAGTGTTTCTTAAACTTATATGAGGATTTACAGTTGTCATCCAGGTTAGGCCAATAAAACTTTGATCTTTTTTTTCAATAATTTAAAAACCATGAATACAAATATTCCAAAACTGTTTTCATTCTTTCTTCTATTCACAACATACATAGGGTAGGGCGGGGCTAGTTGAGCAATTTTTTCCTTGAGCTGATATAGCTCCTCAAATCAAGTCTCAATGGATTGTTTTGCAACCTGTTCGATTAATCATTTATTCTTTTCAAAAGTGTCATTTAAGGAAAAAAATTACAGTCATATGAAGCAAAAAAACTGAAATTACAATGAAATAAAATGCAAGCAACAGTTGAAAATTGAACAATTAACAATAAATGAAAATTCTAAAATGAAAAGATTTCAAGCCAAGTTACTTCACGACGTTTCTATTGCTAGTATCCACAATCGTCTTATGGGGATGACTCCGAGAGCTGACTATTTATAGGTTATTCGAGAGCTTTTACCTATCCCAAATCGGGAATAGCAGAGCATGTTTGGACTCATCAAAGTGGTCTCCAGATGAAATCATTCACAAAGAGGAACACTGGTTAAGGAGGAAATTCGAAGAAGCCGCATATATGTTGTCATGCAACGCATTTAGCCAGGCTAGCGTAGAGATACGCAACATATGAAAATCTATAATCACCAAACGGTCAGTTCCCTCTTAAACCGATGAAATGGGAAGATGGAAGAGGGGATAGGTGAAACCACTCGAATAACCTATAAATAGTCAGCTGTCGGAGGAATAAGTCCAGTCATAACCCGAAGACAATTGTGGATACTAGCAATCGAAACGTCGTGAAGTAACTTGGCTTGAAATCTTTTCATTTCTTGTTAATTGTTCGATTTTCAATTGTTGCTTTTATTTTATTTCATTGTAATTTAAATTTTTTGCTGGATATAATTGTTATTTCTTTAGATAATCTTTTTAATTTTATTGATTCTTTTACGAATTTCAAATCATTTTATTTCATATTAGACAACGGAAGTCCGAACTAATGAAATTCACCATGAAACATTGTCATCTACCTTCAAATAAACGATATGGGGCAAGTTGAACACTTGAAACGTCTAGCCAAACCATGGGTTAAACGATAACTAGAGATGAAATTAAATTTTGTTTGACAAAAGAAGATCTCGGAAACTTAATCGTCGTTGTCACTGTTGCAATCGACCAAAAGAAAGTAAGACCAACATCTAGCACTCATTTTGTATGTGCCCATTCCCTGCAAACTTGACACTGGATCTCTCCTGGTAAACTTTCGGAATAGTCTTCGCAACAAACAGAAATAATCGTCACGGTTGCTTTCCTCACTTGACTGGAGTATTTTTTTACACTCTTCTTTCTTTTTTTATCCATGTCTTTCTTTGATTCGGATGCTATTTATTTGTTACACGATCTAACACTAACCCTAATTTCTTCATTTCAGCACATGGTCCAAACGGGCATGACTGCACCTTTTGGTGCGGCCGCGGCCCAGGCACCCACCTACACCACCCAAAATGGGGAAATCAAAGCAGCGTCGGAAGATAAACCATCGTTACCGCTCCTGCCGCCTCCGACAGTCGCACCAACACCGGGAGCTGGGCCTCCCTTCAGTCCGCCGCCGCCGCAACCGCCCTCATCTGTAGAAACTCCTGTGAGCATAGCATGCAGTCCAGCAGCTCTCGCAGCGCAGACGCAACAATCTTACAAATGTGACCAAATGCCTGCGGTAAGCTATTTTTCCACTTGACAAGTTTCAGAAAACCTTGTTCAAATTGACCTGTTAACTTGAAGGAAAGGAATAGACCGATATAAAAATTTGGCCGACACTCATATTTCAAAGACTGATATACCCATATAGCTTCCAATAATGGGAGCCGGTAGCGGGGTGAAAGGGGGTGTAATTGTGTAATTGCACCCCCTATCCGGAAAGAAACTACACCCGACTGAGCCAGCGGTACGTTCAATGCTACATTGAACTTTTACTTATGGTTTTTGATATCTGAGGTGATGGCAAAAAAGTTTTTGAAACCGTTTTTTTTTAGAATATTTTCAAGTTTTCAAATCTCACAGTGATCCTATCTCGAATTGAGTCTGAAAAGTTGTAGAATAAGTGAAACTTTTTCGATCCTAGTATGTGTTTTTTGCAAATCAATAATTTATATTCAAATTCGAGAATTTCAGCCGTCCCATAATTGAATTTTACTGGAAACTGTATGGCTTTAGAGTGGGTAACATGTACGCCGTCACTTCCAAAGTGGATCTGGACTGACGGTACATCTGTTTCGTACATTTGAGTTCGACCTAAATGAGACTAAACAATTTCTGCAAGCTAGCCAATAGCGCCGTTTGCCAATCCTTTCAATACGTTAATAATGGAGCGCAATATATTGAGGTAGTTGTGAAATAATATGTAACCCGCCATTTTGTAACTGCGGTCATTTTGAATTTGTATCTTTTTCAAAATGTACTCTATTCTACTAGCCAAAACCTGTCATTTGATACCCATATTGAGGTAGTTGTGAAAAAATATTTAATCTGCCATTTTGTTGTTGCGGCCATCTTAGATTTACAATGATACAGATTTTATTAAATTGTATTGTCATCAAAACTAACAGGAAGAGGGTTAAACTTCAAATATCAGCTAAATAAAACCGTTTAAAAATACTCGCAACTCTGTTATCCATGTATAGTTTTATATTTTATTTTGGTTGATAGTATGTGTAGATGCAGATGCACCTCCCTGAAAATAACCCTGACGGCGCCCATGGCTTCCATTTTAGTCAATTAAAATGGAAGATATTAAAGATACTTTAAAAATCGCCATATTAACCAACACCTTTAGTATTGTTTAGTATTAGTATTTGTAGCATTTGGATTTTATGAAAATTGGCCCTGATTATTGCGAGAGTTTTCCAAACATCCAATAAATGGTTGGAAAATTATCAATATTGATAAAAAATGTTCATATCACCTTAGAGGTGAAATCTGAATTAAGTTATTTTTACACATGAATAAATAGTTGTTTACATTACCTAAGTTTTGTTAGCAAAAATGTTTTTTGTTATATGAAATCGGTCTATGGAAAATATTGATATGCCGACATGTTAATAAATTATATACTGTGTCATTCAATTGTTTGTGCGGTTGAAATGTGTTATTTAAAGTAAAGGTATGGGTCATTGGGTACGGTATTGTGACAAATTAATAAATGAACTGTCTTAATTAAACAAATTTATTTACAACACTTTGCAACTAACGCTTAATTTATTTCCACTACTTGAATCTCTTGATTAGCCACTCGATTCACTTCCTGAATTGCGGTACTAGAATTTTACCGGCGATTCCCGACTGTATTCTTTCGCGGTGATGTCATGTGTTTGTTCCATGATTCGGTCGGTGTACTGTTCAGGGGCGGCTTCAGTTTCGTTGCAGGATTTTCAACAGTTCACTACATTTCTACAGAATATGACATAGGACGTGAAATTATCTTTGCAACTGTATAATTTAAGTGACCTTTACTATTTAGAATGGTGGCGTTTGGAGCCATTTTTCTCAATTTGATAGGGCGGAACTATGAAGCCATCTTTGAATAAAAATAATGACTGTATTTATATTTATACATACAAAAACGTGGAATGTGCATCTATGAACGTTATTTATGAATAAACAAAAATCCTTATGAATCTAAACTGGTAGATTTCGATCACCAAGTGATCATCTTCAAAGAGGAAGATTAAAAAAGCAGTTTTAATCACCTGGTGATCGAAACACGTGTCGAGGTGTTAAAATTAACGATTTGGTGTTGAGAAAAAACTCCAGTAATATTTATTACTACACCAGAGGTTCCAAACAGTGCATCATAAAAACTACCTACTCTCAAATATATGAATATTGAATCACAAGGAGATCACTTTTTGTCATTCAGTAGGTACACATTAACGCTACCCAACATAATAATAATAATGAAAGAGTATTGATATAGAATTTCACTTAGAAGGACTCTCATTCTTCAGGTGTACTTCAGTGTCTCGGGTGAAAACACTAGTCTCCTTATTATCATCTTTCTAGAGTTGGATGAGTTGCCACAAGAGTTTTTATTGACGTATTTTTTCTCATTTTCTTCGGAAGTTGTCCCACTGTGAATAACTAGAAACTCACGAGGCGTACACGCCAAATAATTGACTTCTATAGAAATTTTTTTTCATTCCCTAGCTTGAGTACATTATTGTAATTTTTGTAGTAGCCCTTATTTTTTTTTAATAAAATACATCTGATGAGGTGGCTTTCTATAAAAAAAAATTAAATTTTCTCAATCCAAACAAACATATTCTCTTCATAATATCAGTTTAGATTCAGATAATGGAGAAAAAGTGAACCAAAAGGTTTTTTCCATAAATGATTAGCCCCATATATTGTAGCCCCATATATTGTGCCAAAAATAATCAAAAGTTCAACATCCTAATCAACATTAGTACAGGACATGTACTAGAGATTCCAATAAATTGTTATACAAAAAATGAACACAAATGATATTTGACATTGACCTATATCATTGTTATAAACAAATAAAATATAATACACGTTAATATTGGTAATTATTTTTTAGGAAGCAGACAATGGTCAAACAATCCCACCACCCAGTTCAGAGCCCTCAGATGGAACGAATCAGTCGGCGGTACAGGCAGCTACGGACCTTTCAAAAAGCCAACCTAAAAGGTTACATGTTTCTAACATTCCATTCCGGTTTAGGGACCCAGATCTTAGAGCGATGTTTGGGGTACGAAAACGAAATTACCAAGCGAACCTTATGCTAATCTTAATTTTTAATTTTTAGCAATTTGGTCCAATTTTAGACGTAGAAATAATTTTTAATGAAAGGGGATCCAAGGTATGTAATCACTTGTTTTTCCTTATGAAATTGGTTTGAAAAAATACAATTTTGAGCCAGCTATGTTGCTATTAAAGACCAAACTCATTGCAGAAATATATTCTGATTTGGTAAAAACATCCATATCTTTGTTTCAAAGTTCTTTAAAATTGGTATAAGCATTTGATTTTGATTTCAATGTATTTGGATGTGTATTTACTATGAAATTATTTTATTTCTGTTTTTGTGGGTCAGTGCTATTTTAGTTTAGTTACATTTTTAACCTGCTTTTTTTGTTTATTACTTTTTCTCATCTGTAGTCTGGCAAAAAATGGACATGTGTGAAAACAAATAATCTTATAAGTACAAATTGAAGCTATTTTCCTGAATTGTATTAAAAAAAAATCATCTTTGTGCAACAAAGTTGAAGACATAATGCAAATTTTTTCACTTAAATAGGCGGTCTGTTTAAAAAATAAGGGGAATTTTCATCATTCTCAAAAAATATTCATTTAATCACCAATTTCATTTTTGTCCCCTTCAAAGTAGTCCCCCTTAGATATAATATACTTGTGCCAGCGTTTTTTTTCAATCCTCGTAGCAGTTCTTATAAGCACTGTTTGGTATGTCCTCAATCGTCGCAAAATGCCGTCCTTTCAAGGATTTCTTCAATCTTGGGAACAGGAAAAAGTCGCAGGGGGGCAAATCTGGTAAATAATGTGGCTGAAGCATGATTTGAAGGGTAAAAAAATTATGAACAAGCAATGACGAATGTGCAGGTGCATTATAAAGGTGGAAAAGCCAAGAATTGTTTTTCCACAATACCGGACGTTTTCTTCGTATCGCTTCTCGCGCATAACTTCAAAATAATACTTCTTATTGACCGTACGGTCAATGTGGCATGTAGTCCTGATGCTCTACGCCACGGTAATCGAAGAAAACAGTGAGCAAAACCTTGGCATTTGAATGAACTTGGCGTGCTTTTATAGTCTTGGCTTTCCTAGGTTATTCCATTGGGACGATTGGATTTTGATTTCGATGTCATAACCATATATCCCTGATTCGTCACCAGTTATGAATCTTGTACGCAAATCCGGATTGCTGTTGACGTCATTCAACAACTTCTGAACTATGCTCATGCGACGGATTTTATGGTCAAAATTCAGCAATTTTGAAACGAACTTCGCTGCCATATGCTTCATGCCTAAAATTTACGAAAAAATTGCATGGCATGAGCCAACCAATATGGCAACATACTTGGAAATTCATCTAATAGTGATTCGTCGATTTTCCATAACAGTTTTCTTCACTTTCTCAGCATTTTCATCGGTTGTTGATGTGCTGGGGCATCCAGGGCGTGCGTCGTCATTCACATCTTCCCGACCTTATGTGGAAAGCTTGTACCACTCGTGAACATGTTTCTCTATCTCAGAGTACAATCACCGTATGCCACTGTCAACATCTCAAGTGTTTTTGAGCCTCTAATTCAATTTTTTCATACAAAATTTTATGCAAACTGCAAACTCTTTGATCCACGCAAAACACTTCTAACTTTTATGCTTCTCACCAACAAACCAAACATGTTAAACAGCTGAAACTCTGAATATATATTCGAGACGAGTGTCTCAACATAATAAAAATTGCTAATCGAATGTACATAGCCCGCGAACAGTCCACGTATTTAACCAAATAAACTGCAAAACACAAACTAAAATTCTTTTAGGTACTGTTGTACTTGAGTGATAGTAATACTGACGTTTCACTTTGGAGGAATTCAAGGAAAAATTTCAGGTTCTAAACAGCTGACGCCATGATACTTGTTCAGCAAATTGGGTGATACAGCTTATTTTCAAATCCAAAACGAGTACTTTTTCCAATCACCAGAAATGAAATACTCCAACACCTAACAAGTTGGCGTCTTCAGGAGACGAGGAAAACATTTTATCAAGCTTATTTCGATAATCTGCTCACCATGAGATACGTTACTGCATAAACAGTGATGTACTTTTCCCAAATAAAACCAGTGATTCGTGATATTTAATTTTACTCATCAAAAAAGGAAAATTGCAGAATGGGTTAGAATCCCAATGTGAACAACAGAATTTTCTCTTTGTTTCAACTAATGTCAAAGGAAATTTCAATTATGGTAAAATTGTTGATTGGCCCTTGTGAAGTTCAAAGCTTTTTTTGCAAGAACCGCCTGACTTGTCCATTTATTCCTAGTATCAGCAACATACCCATGAGCTTGTTAACTTTTTTCTTCTGTCTCTTCAAAACACACATTTTAACAGACTTTTTTCTGTATTAGTTTGTACAGGTTTCTCGTTGCATTATTCTGCATATAATTTGAGTTGTCCATAAATCAGAGAAAACAAAATCCGGGCTAATGGGCCGTTATAAAACGGAACTCGCAGCATTAAACATTTCGTCTGCTACTGCGGCAGACATCGTCAGTGGCATGTGCGCTGACTACTGAGAAGACGAAGATTATATCTTGAAATCTCAACACCGACTACTGCCTACGCCGGATTTTGTTTTCTCCTATCGTGATTCCGGCCATGAAAGCCTATGTTTCTATATTGTCCATATATTGTTTGCCTCAAGTGATCCAGTGCTTCGCATTACTATGACATGACAAGCTGTAACTGACCCTTTATTTTATTGCCTATAGCTGAGGACTCCGATATATAGCCTATAGCCCTATTGTTCAAGTGTTTTACTGTATGTGCTGCCAAGTATATTTTCCCATATTGTTGTTTCTTATTGTCCCATTTGCTGTTCTGGCAGAATCTTCTAGGATTGGCTCACTTCAAGGTGTTTATTCGTCCTTCGAACAGTTGTTGTTGTTGAACTACAGTAGGGATGAACTACGATGTCTAATAGGCTTTCTTACAGGTCACTGTCATTTGCATCATCATATGCGGAGACTCGGACTGTCAAAAGACAGCGTGTGTCGCCTCTGTTCGAAAAATGATGAAACAGCAGAGCATATACTTTATGCCTGCCCCGCTGGGGACCGAATCAGGGTTTTAGAGTTCAGCAGAGCCGTACTCTTACCATCTGACCTAAAAGACCACTCACCATACAAACAAATCGGTTTTGTTAAGAAGCTGGGTTTATTTGGTCGAGTGTGAATAGGTGTGAGCCACAATAAACCCTTGCGGGTTGCGGTGGAGGGTCGAATAGACCCGCTCACTTTAGACAACCTAACCCATTTGCTGATTTGGTCTCATTTAAAAAATGTTCACCCCCAGAGCTGGTTCGAGGCGTATATATGTACATATATACAGTTCATTGTAGTACAGGATTTTAATTTAAAATATTGTATTCTTGAAAGTGTATGCTTCGGTATGAGGATCATCAGTGGATTATCATTGTAATGTATTAATCAAAAAGTAATCGAAATCGGTTCTTAAAATGTGTTCTGACAGTTTGGATCCTGACAATAGTCTGTTTTCTATGTGTTTGTACTTCAGGGCTATCATAAAATATTGAAATAATTGGCGGATAGGTTCATTTAAAAATTTACTAAAATATATACCTACACCTAAAAAATCGAAAAACATGGAAAAAACAAAAGTTCAATTGACTATGCTTTTTGAATATTATTACGTGAATCCGATATTTTTTTTTCTCTTCAATTCATTACACAATAAATGGTTTTGTGTCCATTTTTTGACAAGTACAGTTGTCACCAAAAAGCCTTGCTTTGATATTTTTTTGATTATTTACATCAATTTTGTCTTGTTTATCTGACACTAATTTGGCATTACTCCACTGTTATTTGATCATTAGTTTTCAGTTTGTCAGTTTCTAATGTAAACATAATTAATCTAATAATAATTGTATTAATACCTTATTTGGTTGATTTGACCATGTTTCAGGGGTTGTGAACACTTTGAAGCCTGTAGACTATGCATTTGATACATCAATATGAATAAAGTAGCGGCTCTTTATATTCAGTAATGAAAAATCTTCCTGTCTTTGCTCTTTAGATTTCGTTTTGTGCTTATTAAGTTGAAAATTGTTCTATATAGAAATATTACAACAGTCTTAAGTGACATTGGGACCCTTTTTGACTTATAAAATGGCAACTGATTCGTAATTATAACAGCATAAAGTAACAGATTTAATTATGCTACTAACTCATATTACCGTTTTTAATCTTTCAAATATATTGGAAATCTTGGAGGAATACAAAGACTGACTTTTATGAATATTTTAAATAGAACTGAGAAGATGCTGAAACTTTGGTGTTTTGTGGCATTATTGCTTACTTTTTTTACTTTTCTGAAATACTTCTATAGTTCTTTTCATAGTTTTTATTTAAATATTACTAACTTGCATTACAGAAACTTTCCTATTCTACTTTTTGCCTACGGTACCAATAACTAAGTTACTATAATTTGTTACGTTTGTATAAAGTGCATGAATTTTTAATTGTATGATTGCATATTTTTGGGAAAACTATTTCTGTTATTTTGATTTGAAATAATGTATATTTTTTGGTTTTTTCATTTTTCTGACATATCATTAATTTATAATAATGTCAAAATTGTCTCAGTGAGCATCTTGTTGCACTTCTATGGGCTTTAGAGTGAATAACACCCTGTTTAACATTTCACATTTAGTTTGATAGCAGCAAAGCTAATTAGGCTCATTTTCACTTTTTTGAAAGAAATATACATGCAGTGTATTTATGACATGCATGGTGACATGATTACATAAATACAAGTATTTTATATTGATATATACATATACATTTATTGAATTTGTGCAATTTGATGACATTTCTACTCAAAAAACATTTATGACATATGATGGCGTAGCAAGAATTCTGTTTTATTTTCTATTGCCCCCTTTTTATTTTCCCATATACGATGATTGTGCTGTAGAAGCTATTTCTCAGTTCGTCTGGTTTTTATTGAAATGTTCTGTCCGAATTTCATATCCATCTTGCCATATGATGGTAACGATAGTGTTAACTTTTATTCTGTTTCTTGCAAGTTTGTATGGTTTACGAAGGATTAGAACTTATTTTTCGCCTTATATGGGTTACAATTTTTTGTCATATTGTGTATATAAAAATAATTGGGAAACAGATTTTGTGAACACATTTTCAATTTGATTTTGTCAAGTATATCAAAATTTATTGTTATCCAAAATAAATTATACAAACATTGTGAAAGCAAATATAATATTAACATTATTATTATCAACATATTCTCTATTCATTCTGAAGAGCTGAACGTTGACTTGATACTAATAGGAAAAGTACAAGTTATTGTGAAAGATATTTCATCTTATGAATTTTTCAAATATTGTATTGAATAACTACACAAAATTTTTCACAAACGTTGCAGTTTGACTTCGTAAATTGTTTAATGCATTTGAAATTAAAATTTATTTTAATTATAAAGTCAAAATATGTTTGTGTGTAATGTTTAGTTTTGTTTTCAAGTATTGAATGAAATGATAAATATTTGAATATTATAAAAGTTTGAGAATACATATTAGTGTTTGGTCAATAGAAAACGCTCACAACTCTTCTAATTCTTCAGTGTTCCCAATTTCCAGTAATGATTGGTGTTTTTGTGTTGGTTTTTAACGGTGGCTTTTGGGATGTGTGCTCTAGTTTTTATTTATTTTAGATAGCTTTTAACTTCTCACGTGGTGATCTAGATGTACTTGACATTGTTTTGAGATTTGCAAGTATTGATCACTTAGTGTTTTGAATCACTTGCAAAATAATATATTTGACACATGGACTGAATGTTTGTAATTGCATTATCAGAAAATGAAGAAAGAATATGCATGTGATTTCACACTTCACTTTTCCAGAATTTCTTTATTTACTGCTTTCCATAAGTTTGGAATCATTAGCTTGGAGTTGTTTATTGCTTTGTAAATGTAAGCGAATCTCAGAATTTTATAATTTTTATAATATAATTGTTGTGAGAACACAACCTACCTACCTGTCTGTATCTCAAATAGTTTCAAATGTAGGATATTTTGAATTTCTATGACTGGCAAACCTTAGCTTTTGTTAGAAAACTTAGAATAAGTCGGAGTCACATTGATTTTTCTTTTATTTTTGGTAATGCATATACCAGGCTGTAGTATGTTTTTAACCCACATTTAATTAATTATCTCGTTCTAACATTGTTCATTAGTGTATTAGGAGTATTTAGACCAATATAATGTACTTTCTGATTAGGATTTTCATCAAAATCAGATTTTTCAAATTCCTTCCAAAAAACCCTTGTAAATTATAGAAATTCCTAAAAAAGTAAAAATATTCCATATAATTCAGTAATTTTGGTATTGATTTCAAACAAAAGTATGTGTGGCAAATAGAATTTGTGAATGACTTGTTCCAGTAAACTTTAGGATTCAACTAAGCAGCTGATGTTGAAATTAAAATGATTCTCTAACTCACTTAGTTAAATTTTACCCAAACACAATTTGAATCTGACGAATGGTCTCTCTTCATTTTAACTGTTTTAAAAATGAATATCTAGTTTTTTAGATCATTCAGAAGAGTGTTTTATAATTGGAAAGTACAAGTATTTAAGTAGATGTAGCTTATTCCTTTGATAATTCCTATATGTTGATAGATTACAATGTGCCACATTTGTTTCATCTCAATAGTCGTCAAATATGAATATTTTCCGACATAAGGATAATAATAACGACAGACTTTCATAATAAAATTGATAATCTGGCAATTGTTGATTTCAAGTCTACTTTGTGAATTGCTTCGTTTAAGGAAAAAAATTAACAAAATAATTTTTTTTTTATTTTTAATGTCAAATACAGCAAAATTTATAATAGACTTATACATTACTGCGTTGTGTTTGTATTAATGCCCTAGATAGATTTTTTAGAGGCACAACAATAGCAAAAACAAGTAACAGTTGATCTTCGAAAATCGCTAGGTTTATCCCTTGGGTTATAACATAATCACTAAATTAGTTTTTATAGGATTTTCTAATAATATAATCAACATTATTTTCAAATTAGTCGTTAATAACATTGAGAATGATCATTTATATCCTAATTTTATTTTATTATCATAAAACCTATTCAACCTATTAATGAAAGGAGTAGATAAAGTTATTCCAAAACCATCATTTTTATGGATATAGTTATAGGATATAGTCCAATATCACTCAAGGCACTAGTGATAAAGAATGTACATGTATAAACATTTCCAAAACCGCAACATTTGTTTCACCATAACAAGCTTTTTGCAGTTTTGTAATTTGTAGTTGTGGTTGTGTAAACTGTTTCATACAAATGTCACAATAAAGTGGTTGAATAACTAACTGTATCATGAGTTTTCATCTACTTGAATATGCTCACCAAAATTGAAAAATTTCACTTTGATTTCACAAACATTATATATAACCCTATTATTATAAATAAAATTGTTTCTTTCAGACCACAAACTACTATTTTCATCGATTTGATTATATATATTAACTCGTAGAATTATTTTTAAAACATTCTCATTTCCAACACTTTTCTCACAGTTGATTGAGATTTGTGCAAATGTTAAACAAGTAGGACAAGTTTTGCGTTTTTTATAGTATTTGTTACGATGACTTTTTCAGTTGAAGGAAGTAATCTTAATAGCTACAATAGCTATGAATACTAGAAACATAAAAATCATTTTGAGCCTTAGACTTTCATGATTGATCAGATAGTTTGAAAAGCAATATGTACACATCTCCAAAAACAAACGTTAAAAACCATATCATAATGGATTGATGAGGGATTGCTTGGTATGAATAATCAGTTTACAGTGTGGGTGTACAATTTCAGCATTGGCAATTTCTACAAAATTTCAAATTTTTCAAGTCGACTCATTACCCGTTCAAATATGTTCTCATTTATGCCTAGCAATAACTCATTACTTCGACGTTAAGGTAATAGATGGATATGATAGAAGGCGGCGTGTGGTAGTGTAAATAGTTAGGCGCACTCGACGAATGCCGCCATATTGTGCCACTACTTTTTGAGAGGCTTAACAGTGTAACGTAGTCTAACCCAAGACTAGTTGACCGTGTGGAATGAGGCTTCTAGAAAAAAATACCCTTATAATGCCCTAATAGCACATTGCGGTCCAGTGGGTGTCTACGATGTACCCTGAAAAAAACCTGATATCTTCCTTCTATGAATGCTTACTGAAAAATACCACTGGACCTTCTGTGCTACCAACTGTGCAAATTCTTCAGACATTATTCATGAATTCAGTATCGAATAAAACCTGTGTATGTGTATATTTTCCATTTTGATGTACTTTTTGGTCTTATACTATTTCCTTTTCTGTAAAACAGATTTTTTTCAGTTGACTTTCAAGTTTAGTAGATGATTTTCAAACTTGATGTATCATTTTTTTAATCTTCTGAGATTGTTGTGCTGAATGTAAAAGATTGCAAAACCTAATTTTTACAAGCATGAAAATCATCTATTCTGAGAACAAATCAGCCAGTTGAATACTTTTTTATGTAAGTTTCTTTTCACACATTGTTTACCTGGATGTTTGGCTAATCTTTGTAAAAAATATGGCCATATAAACGTAGATTTGTAGATATTACAGGAAATTTGTTATTTCAATATCTTTATGCTACGATTTCTTCACCAGACGTAAACATTTGACCAGGTAATTTTTATTATATATTAGTACTTGAAAAAGCAATAACCATATTTGACATGATGGATTACGATAATTTTTATTAGTAATTCATGCCACCACCCATCAAGGTATCTGACTAGAAGACCATTCTGGCCTCGGTGTGCTATTAGGGATAAAAATCAGTGGCATGCGTCTTTACGATCAAATGTCTAACGTCATCATGTCATTGCACGAGTTTGAGAAGCTGTTTATAATGCATGTCTTGTCTGTCTTTGCATGCAGGGTTTCGGTTTTGTAACATTCGCAAATAGTGCTGATGCGGAGCGCGCACGAGACCGACTACATGGCACCGTGGTTGAGGGAAGAAAAATAGAGGTGTGCATGATTATTATTCATTATTTCTGATCGCTTATATTATGAGTAAATCAAATGATTATAAGTTTGTCAGTTCGCCGGACAGGGCTTCAGTTTTGTAAGATAAATTGTTTCCGTTGAAACTATTTCAGGATTAGTAGATAGATAGACTGTGGGTATTGCGTCGTTTGAGCCTGAAAATCATCTGGTCGACTGAATGTGCTCAAAAAATTCATGTTCGAACTTTGAAGGCCTGGGTGATTGAGTTCCAAAAAAAAAAAATTAAATTACGTTTAAAGAAAATATAAAAGTAAGTCAAGTCACGTGTTTTGGCTACATTCTTCGTAGTTTTCAAACATTTTTAGTGGGACTCCAGTGCCGTAACACCTACTTTCTGTTTAACGCTATCTTTAGAATTTGAACACTTACTGAAAGACACTGATCTGGTTATTTGTAAATTAATTTGTAGCAGTAATTTTCATTTTTTGAAATGTAAGGTACTCATAATTATAGTGAGCAGATTATAGCTATCTACGTGTAGCACTGGCCTGTCCCGTCCCTCCCCGGTAAAAAAAGGTCAAAACTTCGTGTGGCTGGCTTGCTGGCTTTAGTGACTAACCGGTAGCACACCACTCCCTCGCTTCACACGTGTTGTTTTGACGTTCTTTTGCCGCACACACTATCAAGTTTTTACATTGTTCAAAAACTTCGCCAAAACTAAAAACATGGGTGGTTGTCTTGAGTTTGAGGAATTGCTGACTTGATTTGACATATTTGTCGAAAGATAAAGAGAGAGAACGCATTATTTTCTCTTTTATCCATTACAGAACCCAGAACTGATATAATTCAAAATTTATCTATATTTCCCAATATAATAGACACATTCGGTAACATGATCTGAGTTATATATGAACATAGGCTTTCACGGCCGGAGTCATGATTAAAGAGAATAAAACCCGGGCTGCTAGGCTGCTGTCGAATTAAACCTGAAATACCAAAGGTTTCATCCGCTACTGCGGCAGTCATCATCAGTGTTATGCGGGTTGACTGCGAGGACAGAGGTTATATCTTAAAGACTCAGCGACAACTGACCCTGTTGCCTCAATCAATCCAAAAATCCGAGCTGATCGCCCGATCACCGCCTATCAGAGGAGATGAATGTCGAGCTTACGACTCCAACTGACCTCGTGTAAATTTAGGTCAGAAGCTAGACCTTCTCAACTCTCAAACTCCTGATCCAATAACTGAACCTAAAAAAAATTTTTTTGGTGGTGCACAGCCAGAAAACGACTGAGTCGTCTCCTAAAGAGTGGGGTACCTTATAAAACCGCCTTGCACCAAATTATTGAGCGGCGTACGCAGAATCTGTCTCAGGTGGAGGAACAAACCCCCCAACGAGCAGGTTAGGAAACGTTTGCGCTCAATTGAATATTCACCATATACTTGTGCCTGCCCCGCTGGGCAGGTTTTTAGAGTTCGACAGAGCCGTACTCTCACCATCTGACCTGAAAGACCACTCACCATACAAATTAATCACCTTCGTTAAGAAACTGGGTTTATTTGGTCGAGTGTGAATAGGTGTTTGCCACAATAAACCCTTGCGGGTTGCCGTGGAGGGTCGAATAGACACACTCACTTTGAACCTAACCTATCACTCCAGTTTTTGTTCTCTTTGATCATGATCTGAGTCGTTAAATTTTGTTAATATACAATTTTTTCATTTTGGTGCACAGCCAGAAAACGACTGAGTCGTCTCCTAAAGAGCGGGGTACCTTATAAAACCGCCTTGCACCAAATTATTGAGAGGCGTACGCAGAATCTGTCTCAGGTGGAGGAACAAACCCCCTCAACGAGCAGGTTAGGAAACGTTTGCGCTCAAGTGATGATTCACCAAAACCAAAGGCAAAAAAGCCCTGCATGACTACCTCATTAACGATGAAACAGTAGAGCATATACTTGTGCCTGCCCCGCTGGGCAGGTTTTTAGAGTTCGACAGAACCGTACTCTCACCATCTGACCTGAAAGACCACTCACCATACAAATTAATCGCCTTCGTTAAGAAACTGGGTTTATTTGGTCGAGTGTGAATAGGTGTTCGCCACAATAAACCCTTGCGGGTTGCCGTGGAGGGTCGAATAGACACACTCACTTTGAACCTAACCTATCAGCCCAGTTTTTGTTCTCTTTGATCATGATCTGAGTCGTTAAATTTTGTTAATATACAATTTTTTCATTTAAAAAAAACATTGACGTTACTAATTTCGGATTAATCGATTTCTAAATAACTTAATCAAAAGAGCCTTTGTTAAGCTTAGTACTTTTGAAAAATCGTTACAGTTTACTTTCCGAGTTAGAATACAAGATAACTTCAATCATAAACATTTTTAAAAAGTGAGTTAAGATTCAGTCATTATCGAAAATGAATAATATTTAGTCGATTCTGTCAAATAAAAAAATATCAGCTGGGTATCTGCATTCTAAAAAACATTACAATAGACCGAGTGATTATAGTTTCTAGTTGAAGTTATGGCCTTGAAATATTTGTGCTAACCATCAAGAATATCACACAAGCTTCTAATGAGTACGTTACTTGTTTTTTGATCATCCAATAAATGTTAGTTTCAGCATATTTAGGAAACTATTAACAGTATTTTTGGATTATGGACCATCGCTTCTGTTCACTTCAGTAGTTTTAATTTTCTCAATGTTGACAGCATTTTCATGTGACATTGAGCACTAAACAACGCTATTGGCATGGTAGATGTATGTTTGACTTATACTGAACCTCATTCCTTAAATTGTTTAGCTTTTGATGCATTTTTATTAGGTTGTTTTTGAGAATACACCCCTAGAGACTGAACTGAAAGATTATCACACTCCAATCAGAAATTAATTAAGTTGGCAATTCTTGACTCAATTCGACAAGTACTCATTTTGAACTTTCAATCATTTCCTACTCTGATGGTTTACAAATAATTATTTCTCAAACTTACATTAACATCAAATACCTTTTTCAAAAGCTAAGAACTACACTTAGTAATACCCTCATTCTCAAGAACTTTATTATGAATTAAAAAAAAGGATTTGTATAAACCATCAGAATAATTTTGTAATTGAGAAATTAGTCAAACTTTCAGTCAGCAAATATCCACGAAAAATATGTTAAATGCCCGGTAATTTTTCCAATGTGTGTACGTTATCTCTAGACCGTATCGGGGCCAAAATCCTAAAATTTGGCTTGCAATGATGACACGATAGTTCCGAAACCCCCTCCCGCTCCCCGCTACTCGGCCAGCCGAGGAGGTAAGTGGGTAAGGCCAGGGAGGCGGTGTCATCGTCCCCGACAACCGACCGAGGGACATTGGCGCCGCCCCACGCCACTGACTAAAAGTTAGGTTAAGTGGCCCCTTAAATAATCTTAGGCTAAGTTTCATTGTCATAGGAAAGTTGAATGAGACAAAGCTCAGGCTCATTCAATTTTACCTATAAAGATGAATTGTCCGTGTTGTGTTCTTTTTGTTTGCTAGCCAAAATAGCACCATATGAAAGAATACAACTCAATTTCCATTGATTATTTCCACCTTCTTTATTTTACTTTCCTACCATATGCCGAGTATTTTTTTAAATGAATAATAAATCATTATCGAATACACTCTTGATAAATTGTGTCACTATATTTTCATAAATATCATAAATTAGATTATTTTGAACAGTTAATAATTTGGCTTTTCTTTGGAATCGCAATTTTTTCTGTTGCCTATTGTCATTCCATTTTTTCAATTAAATAGTTTATATATTGTTGTAGAGGCAAAGGGCAATAAATAACAAATATTTATCAAAATATCAACAATACATTCAATTGGAATACATAGTCTTCGGTGGAAATATTCAATTTTGAATCTGTCTTTGTAGTCGTTTCACATTTTTTTTTAGTAATAGTATAATTAATAAAATACATTTCTTCTTTAATATGTAATTCTACCATGAGAATAGCTGAAAAACCTATATACTATATAATTGCTGCTTTGAAGCGGAACGCTGCCATGGCGGTTAAGTGTAAATATATCAAATTAGATGTCATAGTTTCTGAGGAAGTTTCATTTTGGCGAATACCAGTTTGTATTGTATAGTATTTTATTGTGGAGAAATTCTCCCTCTGCAGAGAAGAAATTTATAATACAAAAAAAAGGAGTTAGAGCTATTAAGTTATCCTTTCTTGTAAACCGATATTTGTAGAGCTAAATAGTCTACCCTTTGCCTGTCTGTACATAATGGAAAATGCCTGTTATATTAATAAGATCAAAAAACAGTCTTTCCGTGCATGTGAAAATACATAAGTATTGAACTAGGCATAACTCTTCCATCTATCCAAGACAAAATTACCAGATAGGGTCAAATGGTTCATTCTCAATCTATAACTGTACCTTTAAACTATCTCTATATGTTGTGACTCGTCATATGTGTGGATTAGTTCTGTAAATTATATCTCCAATAAAGATAAAAACAATTCAACAATTGGATAAATAGTTTCCCACCTACAAAATGTTCGTTTGATATACCATATAATCGAATGTAGAACTGGGTTTCATTTTACCAAAGGCTCCAATAATACTTACTCTTTTCTACAGTCTGATCTGTCATTTGAAACACATACTAAACAAGATTATTTAATAATAACAGTTAGTGGTGATATTTGGCCTGACTCGATTTCAACTGTTCATTTATTGGACTCAGAAAACTTGTTGAAATCTCCATATTGTTTATTTTGTTTTATGAACAGTATATCAACAACAATCAATCAACTTGAGTGATAAGAAATGAATTTGACCTCATCTCTAAAAGCAAAATCTTTGAGTCATATTTTTAACTCTGAATAACTTTTCACTCACGAAACAACTTTTACTTTTTTATGAAGAATATTTGAACAGAAGATGAACTTATTTTTATATATGTGAAACGGCTACGAATAATAGTGAAAATAGAAAATGTCATGGTAATAATCTCTATGAAAAGTAAAATAATTATTGACTATTTGAAGTAATTTGCCAATATTATATTGTGAGGATACCATGCTTTATGTGAGTGTTACTGGAATGTATTCATAGCTCTCAAACAATGTTCTTTAGTTGTGAAGTAACTCTATATTTTATAAATATCTATTGATTAATTGTTGAGACATTTTCTATTTCCTTATTGTGAAAGATGAGAAATATTTTCAAGACGATTGAATTCCACAATCTGAATACAAAATATTTCTGTTTCTTTCGATGTTAGTAACATTTTTTAATCCACAAATGTTCTGAATGAAGATTTCCTTATAATGAAATGATAATAAAATCAATTTATCAACAGACCCTTTGAAGATCTTCATCCAGATTTCACACAATAGGCAGATTATAAATTTATCATATATCATGATTTTGGCAAGTGTTCAAATATTTGCTATTAATATAAATATTTATAAAGTATGTCGAATATTATAACACTGATAAATTGTAAGAGATATAAACTATCAATATTAGAAAATGTTACAAAATTTAGGCATCTAGATAAAAGTACAATGATTTGTGAACCAAATTCATATTTATTTGTTCTTTTATGAATCAAATTATTTTTGTACAGTCTTTTTATTTAGATACAAATCATAGAAAATTATTCCTGTTTCATTGTTTCATGTTTTTTCTCTTTTTATTTTATGTTCAATAGATATTTTTGACTGAGATGGAGATCCAAATTTAATAATGCCATTTGGCAGACGTTCAAATTTTTTTCATTTTATTCACAGCTCATTCAGATATTATGAATTTGGTTTAATATTAGAAATGCCTCCCAGTAGCAATGTACAAGTTAGGGGCAAAAACAATATCTCCAGTTATCTATTGAAATCATTATTTTTCAATATTAAAAAAAAACTAGTGTTTTCAGTAGATAACAGGAGAATATTTTTTTTTAATTTACTTTTTTTTAATGTAGGTAAATAATGCAACTGCAAGGGTACAAACCAAAAAACCACCAACTCTTCCCACAGGTTAGTAGATGCTTATATAAGTGTATGGGGTAGTAACAAAATTTGTCATCTTTATCTGCTTCTTTCTTTTGTGAATATTAATTATTTTGGCTGGGTGCGGGAAAATGAAAAATTCACTTTAAGTAGTAATTTTTCTTGAACTGCAATTTCAGTTAGGTACTTCAACCCTAAGCTCATTGATATGATAGTATTTTTTATATAAAGACTTTGTCTCCTCTTCACAGTATGATATACATAAATTTTTATATACTTATTTGAAGGTATTTGTAACAACTAATGGCAGTTATCACTTACACATGAAGAACCTTTATCACAAAATGAATGAAAAAACGTTTATCATTGAATGTTGATTTCTGAGAAAATTCATTACATTTAGATTTGGGTTTTTTTAATATTTCAATCAATATTTGGATATTGATTAATAATTCTATGATATCTTGGTAATAGTTTCAAAAGAGAATTGAAATAAAATTCAATCGTTTAACATTACAGTTAAAATTTACACAAGTAAACTGTTACCTACGTTTATATAGCGATCGCCTGTTTAGCGTCGGTTTTTTTTAAACCTTCAAGCATTTGACAGATCATCACTCACAATTTTGAAATATGGATAACTTTTTGATAGATAATAAAATATATTATACTTGTGATGCACTGTTTGGAAACACATGCCGAGGTGTTAAAGTAACAGCTTAGTATTGGGATGAAACTCCAGTAATATTCATCTGATATTGAACAAATTGAGTGAAGCCTTAGAAGCTGTGTTTCGTTACAATAAAATTTAGTGTCAGCGAGGTGTCATACCACTATTACAGTTGTATTATTTTTGCAATCATAAAATAGTCACTTTTTTAACCGGGAAAGGAACTCCAAAGAAGATATGTATGGGAAGTCCAAATTGAATTTAAGGAAGAATGAAAGATATTTTTTGAGACCTTATAGTCTGTGTTTCAATAGTGGTCAACATTTTGGGAATTTTTTAATAATGAATTGATAATATCCAACTTCCACCTTTGTTCTTTCGAAAGCTCATTTCAGCAAATAACATTCATTATTCGTCACCTTTTGTGTAAGTTTCCAAAGTCCGTAGGCTAATGGATTTTCTCTTGAATTTTACACGAGAGCGTTTGCTTAGAAGCAAAGCTTTGGAATTAACGACATTTTCATCTATTGAGCTCAGTGTACAAGGAATATCTGTTGAGATTATATTTAAAAAAAGAAAACGATAATATCAACTTGAAAAACTTGGTTTTAAAATCCAAATATCAAATTGTATGTGAAATACTTCAAAAATGAGTTCGTAAAATCATAAATACCTGTCAAAAATATTGTATTCACGAGCACCAATTCATGTTCATTTCAATAGATTAAACTGTTCTATACTAGATTCGTTCCCAAGGCGAGCTCAAAGTGAACACAGCCGAATACGTTGAGAGCGTGTCGATTTGTCATCAAAATCTGCAGTTTATCATTGGGTGTGATTGAGTCGTGCCTGTGATCACTAGAGTGACCGCAAAAAATCGATGTCGGAATTTTGTTTGTCTGGACCCCACAAAACGATCCCCCATTCCATTGAGTTGACCCGTTCAAAAAATAAAAGGGGGGGGGACATTAAAGAAATGCACTGTATTTTCGATTCAATCTTGCACGCACCAGATTTTTTAAATAATTTATTAGTTTCTGAGAATTCAAATAATAAATAAATAAAAGTGTAACACAATTTTCAGAAAGCGAAAAACTATTTTTATTTTGAAAAATGTATCTCAATGATACTTGTAGAAATAAATCTTGATTATAACTTTTGTGGAAGGTATCTTTCCGTCACTGAACTGCGGCAATAGCGTGTGAGTGATAAATAATTAAATTCGGATAAAGGAATGCAAACCCTTCAATTACTAATAACCAACTTCACACCTGTTTGTGTTTTATTCAAGCGAAATTTAACGTAAATATTATCCTTATTTCTTGTATCATATTCATGAATCATAATCTGCATGGTTATGATACAAGATAAACGGATCATATTTTATTATTTGGCATCAAATTTAAATACCTAGAGAAATAAATTACATGGCAAAACGACGTTTGCTGGGTTAGCTAGGATTTCAATAATGATTTTAATGATATGGAATAATGATTCATAATACAGGGTGTAACTGAATAAGTGTAAAACATTTAAGGAGGTGATTCCTCATCGAAAAAAAGATAGATTCTTACATATAAAGAAACTTCATTGGAGCATCCCTTGTTAAGATACAGCCCCTTAATAGCCGAAAGTTGAACTCGATTAAACGACGTTAACCCGTGCCGCTCGTCGCACAAAGTTTGAAAAAATCCAAATTTTTGGTTATAACATAATGTTAAGTCAAACCGAGTTACAACAGCCTTTAGCCCCAAAAACGTGACCTGGTTTCATTGGCAGCATACTTCGTATATTTTTTTATAAAGTGGTAAATTTTACCTTTTTTGTATATTTTTGAGTTTAAAGTAGAAATATAATAAAAAAAATTAGTAATACTGATGAGTCTAATGACATTTTTTATTTCAAAATATAAAAATCAGGTATATAATACATTCAAAACAGACACAGAAAAGATACAGACGTAGTACCTACATGAACTGATAATTTCACATAGTTATCTAATCTATTCTTGAGATTTTGTTGAAGTAGTTTTTGAAACGTCAGGATGTAATACTTGGCATTTGCTTACAACTTGCAGGACATTAATTGAACACCACGCTCAGCCATATTATATACTATTTTTAAGGTTTTGACAATTATTTTGAGGCCAGGTGTGTGGATGTTGTTTTAGGAAATCTGGTTCTATATTAAATCGGTCAAATAATGTAAACGTTTCTTTGATAAGTAAATTTACCAATCCTCCATCAACTACCTCTTTCAATTTTTCTTTCCTAACTTTTGGATTCACAACCCGAGCGTGCTCTGATGGTTCATCTGTGCTACTGAGCAATTCATAGTCTGTAATGGTGGGATCAAAAAAAGATAATCCCACCAATTCTGCATTCAATACCACAAACTATTCGAAAATTTTGTCAGGGATATTTCTGCAATGTCGTTATCACATTCTTTATAGTCTAACAGACTATGCAAAATACCTAAATCTTTGGAAAAAAAAGTTGTTGGCTTTCTACTACTCCAACTTTATACAAAAAAAATACACATCCATGTATAGAGTTACTTATTTTCAAATTGAATACTTCCTTCCTTTCTTTGGAAGATTCCCTCATCCTTTTTTTTTAGGTTGGAGTAGTAGAAAGCCAAAAACTTTCTTTCCCAAAAATTAATCATTCCTAAAAATGTAACCCCTTCAATTCGCCTAAATCTTGTTCTGGTACAAGATAAGCTTTTGGAGCATTGAACCAAGCTTTACAATAAATTTTAACTGGGAAAACAGAAATGGCCTGCGCAGAACTTTCTTCTTCTTTAGACATCTTAAATTAACGACGAAAAAATGAACATTTCAATTCAGTAAATAGCCTTTGCCATCCAACTAGCGTGATGAATGGTTCCTGGAGTTCTAAAACCCACAACATTGTGATCCAACAAATACGGGAACCAACTGCAATTGCTCCTTGTAGTCATCTCTGGGGTGTCTCTCACTTAATTTGGTTTCGAATTCAGCAGTAACATTTGAGATTACTTTTGGAGTTACCTGCTTTTGTATTAGATTGTCACTGACACCTGTGTCGTATTTTCCTTTGTGTATCTTGGGCCACACAGTAAGGAATCTCTTAAAAATGTCTGAATGAGGTAAAGAATGTGACGACATTGCAGAAATAGCCCTGACAAATTTTTGAACCATTTGTGGTATTTGAATGCAGAATTGGTGGGATTATCATTTTTTGATCCCACCATTACAGACGATGAAAGGTTGTTAATGACTAATAATTTGCTCAGTAGCACAGATGAACCATCTAGGGTTGTAAATCCAAAAATTAGGAAACAATAATTAAAAGAGGTAGTTGATGGAGGATTGGTAAATTTACTTACCAAAGAAACGTTTACATTATTTGACCGATTTAATATAAAACCAGATTCTCTAAAGCAACATCCAAACACCTGGCCTCAAAATAATGACTTCCAAAAAGAATTGAAAATTGTCAAAACCTTAAAAATAGTTAATGATATGGCTGAGTGTGGTGTTAAATTAATAACCGACTTTAATAACCTTCTGACAAAAGATAAAGACCAAAAGAAATATTTCCTACAAGTTGTGAGCAAATGTCGAGCGTTATATTCTGACGTTTCAACAACTACTTCAACAAAAGCTCAAAATTATCAACTCATGAAGGTACTACGTCTGTATCTTTTCTGTGTTTGTTTTGTATATATTATATACCTGATTTTTATGTTTCAAAATAAAAAATGTCATTGCAATTATCAGTATTATTGTTTTTTTTTTAATATAATTTTACTTTAAACTCAAAAATATATCAGAAAAAGGCAAAATTTACCATTTAATAACAAAATATACGAAATATGCTCTTAGTGGTTCCAGGTCACGTTTTTGGGGCTAAAGGCTGTTGTTGTAACTCGGTTTAACTTAAATTAACAACAATTATGTACAGAATATAAATTTTGAAGAACAACATTAGCTTTCTCTTGAGGAGATATTAAGCGTGTTTTTATTATTTACCGTTCTAAAGTTATGGCTCCACATGCCAGCTTTTTGTAAAAAATGTTTTTTTCAAACTTCGAGCGGCACAGGTTAACGTCGTTTAATCGTGCTCAAATTTCTGCTATCTCAATATCTGGAAAGGGAAATCGTTTTGTGGGGTCCAGACGAACAAAATTTCAACATTTTTCCCCCTCTATAAGATCCAGACACGTTAATAAACCTTATCATTGGCTTATTGGAATTATGTCCAATTTATGTTCACTTAATTGAAGCGTGTTTCTGCTTTGATGGTGTTTGCCCCGGACTTAAATATAGTATAGTGCATTTAATCGCAGAATTACTCATTAAAATGTTAGGTTAGGTTAGGTTACATTGACTGAAATCTATGAAATTTATCGATTAGTTCAATTCAATGAATTTATTTCAATCTCAGTTCCAGTAATTCAATGGTCGGACGCCACACTACGAGCAGGGGTAGCAGCTATTCAGCGAGGCAGGGCAAGGGCAGCTTATCCGACGGCTGCAGCTGCAGCTGCTGCGGCAGCGGCTTTCGCGAGGCCCCCTTTGACAGGCACTCTGCATGGCTACACGCCCGTATTAAATACGCTGCCGGTCGATGGAAGTGTCTATTATGACCCCTTTCTGGCAGCGCACGCCGCTGATCCCAATTACACAAGGTTGCAGGTATGTTATTCCAAAGATGTGACTATAACTAACAAAAATTATTGTTATGTGCATAATGAATCAAATCTTTCACTACATTGATTATTATCGGAGTAAAACGAGATGTACAATTGTAGAATTTTAAGAAGGATTTACAGCCACAAAGGGCTTTCTGGGTTCTTAATTTTATTTTTCAGTGTAAACTAGTATTTTGGAAAGGGAACTTTTTTTTCAAGTATACGGAAAGTTCGTTTTCCAAATATAAACATACAGTGCTTTTCTTTAATGCCCCCCTTTTATTTTTTGAACGGGTCAACTCAAAAAATTGAAATTTGGGATAATGAAATTGATGCATGAATACTTCATTTTGAAGTGAAATTGACAGATGAAACTTTCAAGATGGCGACTGGGCGCCATCTGGAAAAAAAATTAAATGAAAGGAGGGGGGTCTTGTGACACATCATTTTGAAGCTCCTGACAAATGCTTCACAACCCTAGAATATGAAGCATATCTTGTCTTCACCTACTACAAAATGGCAGAACTTTAAATAATTACCTGAATACATTGACATTTGTCTACATAATATTAGGTAATAAGCTTGAGGTCAGTTCAGAAGATGCTCGAAATGATTGCCTTGAACTTCTTGACATATGAACAGCCTATCCGATATTTCACGCCGAACATTTTCGAACACAGTAACGTCAATATCTCTACAAATATTTATTATTCTCTGCCGAATATCCAATATTGAAGCAGGTTCAGTTTCGTACACCTTTTGCTTCAAATAGCCCCATAAAAAAGGCCAAAGGTGTCAAATCTGGCGAGCTGGCTGGCCATTCTGTAGGACCTCGACGGCCAATCCAATAACCGGTAAAAGTAATATCCAAATAGTTTCTTACTTGTCTTGAGTAATCTGGCGGTGCTTCATCTTGTTGGAATACAATATCCAAATCGAATTAATTAGGATTCGCTTCGACGATTTCAGTGATGAGAAGGTCAACAGTAATTTCCATCATATTCAAATACAGTTCCCCTGTAAAATTTTGATCAATAAATAGAGGTCCTACAATATGGTTTCCCAATATTCCTGCCCAAACGTTAATTTTTTCTGGATATTGGGTATGTGTTTCCCGGAAAACGTGAGGGTTGGTGTCACTCCAATAACGGCAGTTTTGTCTGTGAATATTGCCATTTAAAAAAAAAGTACATTCGTCACTAAAACAAATACTGTGGAGATAGGTAGGAAGCCTTGCAATGGTTTCCGTCATGATTTCACAGAATTCTGTTTTCCGATCAGGGTCATCTTCAGTTAATTGATGTACCATTTTAATTTTGTATGGATGATACCTATTCCTCTTCAAAAGTATCCACACAGTAGAAGGAGACACCTCACAAACGTTCGCAACGGAATAAGTAGACTTTTCAGGATTTACTACCATCTCACCAATTATTCCCACTTGCTGTTCTTCCGGAATGGACGGATGACCTGAGGGCTTTTTGTTATGTACACTACCGGTAGTTGTGAATTTGGATACAAGTTCCCTCAAATATTTTCTACAGATAGGACGATTCGGAAAACGTTCATTGAAAATCCTTTCGGTATCGTGAAAGTTACGCGTCGCACCGTAATAAAAATCGCTTCAATTTTTTCTTCCGATGGACGAGAATTGACCATTTTAGAGATTATTAACGTAGTACCTTTCTACTAGTAAAACCGAAAACTAAATGAGAATATTCTAACTGAACAATGATGTTCATTGTCGTACTGACATTTTTTGTCGTTTTTATAAAAAAAATAACACAACAAACCTCATTGGGTTGTTAGATTTACCATATGGTTGATTAAAGGAATATTTCTATAAATATCGATATTAATGTGTTTGTCTTCAGGAAATTATTAAATGTTCCGCCACTTTGTAGTAAGTGAAGATATTGACTACATATTCTAGGGTTGTAAAGTATTCGTCAGGAGCTTCAAAATGATGTGTCACAAGACCCTCCGTTTCATTAAATTTTTTTTTCCTAGAAGGCGCCCAGTCGCCATCTTGAAAGTTTCATATGTCAATTTCACTTCAAAATAAAGTATTCATGCATTAATTTCATTATCCCAAATTTCAATTTTTTGAGTTGACCTGTTCAAAAAATAAAAGGGGGAGGGGACATTAAAGAAATGCACTGTATTTTGGATTCAATCTTGCAAATTTTTTTAAATAATTTATTAGTTTCTGAGAATTCGAATAATAAATAAACAAAACTGAAACATGTATCTCAATGATACTTGTAGAAATGAATCTTGATTATAACTTTTGCGAAAGGTATCTTTCTGTCACTGAACTGCGGCAATAGCGTGGGAAATTATAACTTTCCACATTTAGTGTGATGAATATTTAAATTCGGATAAAGGAATGCATACCCTTGAATTACTAATAACCAACTTCACACCTGTTTGTGTTTTATTCAAGCGAAATTCAACGTAAATATTATCCTTATTTCTTGTATCATATTCATGAATCATAATCTGCATGGTTATGATACAAGATAAACGGATCATATTTTATTATTTGGCATCAAATTTAAATACCCTAGAGAAATAAATTACATGGCGAAACGACGTTTGCTGGGTCAGCTAGTATTTCAATAATGATCTTAATGATATGGAATAATGATTCATAATACAGGGTGTAACTGAATAAGTGTAAAACATTTAAGGAGTACGATAAACTAAATGCTGTAAATGGCCCCAAAAAGAGAAATCGAGAGGATTGAGATCCGGGGATCGAGCGGGCCAGTTCTATGGTCCTCCTCGACCTATCCACTGATTTGCATATGTTTCAGTTAAATGCTGACGTGCTACTTGACTAAAATGGGCGGGAGCCCCATTATGCATAAAAAACATATCCCTTCTGACGCCCAAAGGAACTTCCTCCAGCAGTACTGGTTGCATTTCTCTTAAAAATTGAACGTATGCCTCACCATTTAATCGAGGAGGTAGAAAATGAGGCCCAATTAAATCATCCCCAATAACTCCGAGCCACACGTTAAAAGAAAACTGTTCTTGATGGTTAGTTTCGACAATAGCGTGAGGGTTTTCATCAGCCCATATATGGTAATTATGAAAATTAATAATCTTGTCCCGAGAAAAACTACATTCTTCTGAGAATTCTATCGTGAATTATTAAAGTAACAAACGAAGAATAGAACAACAACACACAATTAGTATTAATTCAATTTCGAAAATTCACAAACTGACAGCGTCATACCAATTTAATTGTCACTATCGCTAATAGCGACCTATTACATAGATTATTTTCGCATTTATGACGATGTATCTCTGTAGTTGTTCCTAAAATAATTTTTTGCTACGAATTGGTTCATTTTGGGCAAAAAAACTCAAGAGACATTTTTTGTTTAGAATGAAACAGGCTATCGGAAATAAATTTTTAAATGGTAAACAAATAATAAGACAAAGAGTTACATTGGAAATTAATTTTAGGGGTTGCGTTTTCCACCCCTCACAACCATGGGGTGGGTAAACCAAATAAATTACTGGCTATGTGTTTTTTTGGTAGTACAAAACATCAGTTTAATTTCAATATTGTAACTTTTTCAGTGCTTGTGAAAAATATTGTTATACAAATTTTATGTACTCCCTTTAAGGAGCTGTATCTTAACAAGGGATGCTCCAATAAAATTTCTTTATATGAAAGATCCTATCTTTTTTCGATGAGGAATCACCTCCCTAAATGTTTTACACTTATTTAGTTACACCCTGTATATGTAATGTTTACTATTTTAAATTTAATTTTTGGTAACTGGGTTAAAACAAATATGTCCGAGTTCTGTTCAAAAAATAAGGTGAATGGTCAAATTTCGAGGGCTGCGTACATTCGATTAGCGTTTTTTAATTTTTTTTATGTTGGTACACTCGTCTCGAAGATATATTCACAGTTTCAGATGTTCAGCATGTCGAGTTTGTTGGTAAGAGATATAAAAGTGTTTCACGTGTTCGGCGATTATTTGCTATCGAAAAAAAATGATGAAATGATTTGCATAAAATTTTGTGTGAAAAATCAAAAACACTTCACCTGAAATGTTGACCGTGGGATACGGTGATGGTACTTTGAGACATAAAAACGTTCAAAAGTGGTTAGTTTAGGTTAGGTCTAAAGTGAGTGGGTCTACTCGACCCTCCACCGCAACCCGCAAGGGTTTATTGTGGCTCACACACACACTCGACCAAATAAACCCAGCTTCTTAACGAAGCTGGTTAGTTTGTATGGTGAGTGGTCTTTCAGGTCAGATGGTAAGAGTACGGCTCTGCCGAATTCTAGAAACCTGATTTGGCCCCCGGCGGGGCAGGCACAAAGTATATGCTCTACTAATTCATCATTTTGCAAACAGAGGCGACACACACTGTCTTCCGACAGTTCGAGTCTCTGCATAGATGATTCAAATGACAGTGACCTTAAGAAGCCCTGTTAGACATCGTAGTTCATCTCTACTGTAGTCCAGCGACTGTTCGGCATCAAGCTTCGAAGGGTTAATAAACGCCTTGGAGTGAGCCAATGCTGGAAGATTCTGCCAGAAGTCCATAGATCTTGTTGCCATCCAGGTGTTCAGTGTTTGTTTGGCAAAGCCCAAAGCGATGCCAATGACAGGTTCTGATCCAATGAAGCTGCTTGCAGCACCCTCCTTTGCAAGGGAGTCAACAGTCATTGCCTTCCAGGGCAGTATGGCCAGGAATCCAGACCAGAGACAATCTGTTAAGTCTTCCTATCGAGGAGAGTCGTCTTTGGCAATTTGCTACCAATTTAGACGTTGCTCGGTAGGTGCCAAGAGCTTCCAACGCCGCTTGATTGTCCGATAATATTTTTATTGACTTGTGTATGAGGTTGGATTTAACCAATCTCTCCGCACACAATTCAATAGCATACATTTCCGCTTGAAATACAGTCGCATAAGTTCCTAGGCAGGTAGATATCTCTGTCCCGGGTCTGCGACTAAAAACATCTGCACCAGA